GCGGTCGCCCGCTGGCGCAAAACAGATTTTTCGAGTGGCGCCCCGCCGATCGTCGACGCGGCGCGGCAACGCCGGCTTGCGCGATTGCGTTGGGCCCCTAGGGGCGCCCCGGAAGCCGCGCACCAAAGGTCACTTCACCCCAGGGTCACTCCTACGTGTAGCCGACGGGAACGCGAGCGAAATATGTCTGGCGTGCGCAGGCAGTGCCACGCACTGGCCGAGAAGAGGAAATCATTGGTAGCGAGGGGAGACAGCCAGAGCAGCTCGGCTTCAAGGTCGTTCGCTGGCGCCATCGCTGGCGCCTGCCCCCCGCCGGCCAAAGCTGGGCTCAAGAGGGCCCGATCGTCCAGAACAGCCCCAGAACGAACTGGGCGCCGAACGGCGCGCGCGAACATGTCCGGGCAAAGTCAGCCCCCCACCAGAAATTTAGCGCCGTGCCATTACTCATCGGAACTAAACCCACGGCCGGGGAACAACAGCTGAAGGCGCGCGCGGGGCAGAAGCCCCGCAGCGAGAAGCGAGTGGATGCAGGCGCGCTGCAGACATGCCTCCGGTCGACCCGAGCTTTCAATATACAGCGCAAATTCTCATCGCAAACTAGCGCCGGCAGCTTCTCTTGGTGCGATGAATCATCATCGCTGATGAGAATGTACTGGGCGCGGGCGTTGCAGGTGAGCTGCGCGTCGCGCGCCTTGCACTCGACTGCTATCCTGTTTGTAACCTCGGCTTTCACGAAGGCGCATACATGGCGTCGCCCAAGGGGGTGTTCAGACGCTCCACGCGATTTGCGATTCCTATGATGTCCGCCACTGCAGTCAGGAGCCACCCCAGACGATGTGCCCCCTGAGCCATATCTTCGGGATGATCCAGGAGATCATGCCTCCACGAGAGGGGCCCTGGCATTTTGCGGTGGGAATTGCGGCCAGATTGTTCCGTGGCTGGCACTAGCTGACCGCGAGCGCACGAATGTCGTTCATGACCAATATCTGCGACGCGACCAATATGGATTTCGAAGCGGAGGGTGCGAAGGCATCCCCTCTCCAATTTGCAACGTGGGGCATGGGTTCATGATTCCATCGGAAGGGTTCGAAAACCAACGACGCTGATTTGACGCCCAAAGGGTAGTATACCTTTGCCATGGTGGCGCAAACGCGGTGAAGAAGACGACTGGGAATCTGTCGGCCCCATCAGCCCCCTTCTGTAGCTTTGAGCGCTCCAACGAACCTAGGGAAGGAGGGGGCGCCCAGGGTGCCCTCGCCAATTTGCTCGCCCGCCACGCCGCACCGTGTTGCCCAGAATGCGCTGGAAGAGACCCGCGCAGTCCACTCGTACATGGACAGATTGCCAAACCAGGTCTGATTCGCCTCAGCAGAAGTAGTTGCGCATCTTCTATCGCCCGTTCGCGATTCCAACGCCCGGAACCGTATCTGAGAGTTGCCTCATTGGTTGCCGCCGCGCATGCGCCATCACGAGACTGTCATTCGAAGGCCTGCGGCGCGAAGAGGCAATGCAGACGCGCGGGAAAGTCGCCGCGAGAGCGCGCGGACAGGGGCAAACATGTCATGCCAGGAGGTGGGGCCCGCGGAGCGAGCAGATCTCTAGGGCGCCCCAGTGGGAAAGCATGCGCAGCTACATCAGCCACCGACATGTCAAATCAGCACTCGACGTCCAACCTCCCCCGAGGTAGCGAGGGAAACGCGGGGCAAGGAAGCGGCGATCGAAGTGGCCTGTTGGACAGAATGCTCCCGAGGGCGAGGTGACCAATCGTCGCCCTCTTTCTGGCAGTCCACGCAGGGGATCAAGCGAAACAGAACATCTCAAGCCCATAGTACTATATGCATCTTAGTTGAGGCCACAGAAGCCACGGTAACTCACGAGGGAAAGGGGCGGGCGCCGATGCTCGTCGCCACCGGCGAAATATTGCGCGCAGCCAAGCAGCACCAGCCTGGCGACATCTTCTGCGGCGCACTCGGAGCTTGGGCAAAGCTCGCTGGGTCTCAATGGGTAGCTCGCCATGAGCACCGTTGCCCTCGTGCCTGAGGCACTGGACCATGCCGTGGAAAACGTGCTGGCTAACCACATGAAAGTGGACGCTTGGAGAGGGGTATCCCACTGCGGTCTCCGACACTTACTCGCACGCTGGATTCATGCATTTCGGCAGTTAGAGTCAGCCAGCTTACCCACCGAAATACGTGGGTTCTACTACGGCGAATAGGAATCATCACTCGCTTAGTCATGACCGTGCCAGCAAGCTGGATTTCGGAATCGTCTTGCCGAGTCGTTGCTAGCTCAACCGCGCGATAAACCAACGCACCGCAGGTAGAATAATGCGCCCCGCTGGAACCGCAATGTGGTCCAGCCTCGTAGGGGAATGTGTCTTCTGGTGGCTTCCACGTGGCAGCCACTTGTGGTTTGCCATGCAGCGTCGACGACGGCAGTCCCATCCAGGTAGCTCGAAGTGCATCATGCAACATGTCACCACTCCAAGTCTCGCTGGAGGCTGCAAGAGGGCCCGGAGAGGAGGACGCGACAGAGCCTGCGGTAGCGCTAGCATCCAGGAGCACGTGCGTTTGCGGAAGAGGCGCAGAATCGACGACGAAGGCGATGTTGAGTGAAGCGATCTTGGCGCTGACACAGGAGCGTCGGCGATGCCTTGGAGTTACCATGTACCCCTAGACACGATGTCTTCGGGCCTTACAGGGGTCCTGTCGAAACTGTGACTCGAACATTTCGAACGAGCATTTGATCCTCTTGGAGTACCGGGCCCGCAGAGCGCCAGGTGGGAGCCAGCCACAGACCACCCTGCCAGTCCTACCAGATCGAGTTTGGCTTGTAAAATCTGCGCCGCCAGCTCTCTTGGCCGCCCTACGGGGTGTGCGCCGGCAACACTGGCTTGCCACGTCTTGCGCGCTGCGATGCCAGCGCATTTGCGAACGCAAGCGTCGGACTCATTATGTCGCCAACTGCCTCAAGACAGGGATACTCCAGTTCCCAGGAGCAGAGTGAAGGACTACGGGGTTGTCGCGGAGGACAGTGGCATTTCAGCTCCTAGCTTGCAGAGTCCAAGACATGGCCCACATCGGCCCAGGACACCAAGCTGCTAGACAAACCCGCTAACACGTATACCCAAGGACCCCGTGCCCGCGCCATCGCAGTATCGCAGAACGACTCTGATCCATCATGGGCAGTCGGGAAGACAGTGGCCGCCCAGTCTGGGGGAGCTGGGTCTCCGCCTGTCCCATCAGTGTAACTTCTGAAAGACTTGATGAAATCATGATTGCAGGGCAGCGCGCTCAGACTAGCAAGCGCCTTAATGGTGCACGGCAAGCAGTGGCCCCTTACGAGGCGCCAGTCGGACAGGCCACAGCTTGTCCCAGGGGCGAGGCAGCTCCTCTGCAACATACGGGAAGCACCCGCATCAAGCTCGAAGGTAGGATGCGTGCATGTCTGGCCAAACGGTCGATTATCGTCGCTAGTGCTCGCCGTAGCCGACTGCGATCTGCCGCCGCGACCTGCGCGCCGAAGACGGGGCTCGCTGGAACGAAGCCAGGGGGGAGGGGGCGTGGACGCAGCCGCCGCCGCTTCCGAAGATGCCGCTGCTGAGACTGCCAACGACGTTGCAGGGGAAGTAGGCGGCATTGCCTGCGACAGAGCACCGAGCATAGACATAATAATGCGCGTGCGCGCCATGACATTTGAGGCCGCGTGCTCGTTGACGGCATGGGTTTTCAGAACGCTCCGGTTGAGGGTCCGGAGTCAGGAAAGGCGGCCGCCACAGTTGCCGTCGTGGCTGGCCAAACGTAAGGTGATTGAACTCAGTGTGGCCCTCGACGCTGCTGCTGCTCCTGAGGACGGGTCAGAGCTGGAGCTGGTCGTGCGTCTTGTGGCTCCGGTACCTCGCCGCTGGTTTCCACGTGCAGCGCTGAGGGATTGACTTGTTTCTTTGTCAATGCATCGGTATGCCTAGACACCCATTGATTAGCAACGTATCTTCGATTCTCGAGCTTTCGTAGCTCGTCACACTTGGCCACGGTGTCTCACTGAATGGCCTGGAGTCGAGCAGTTGCTCGAGTCAGCGCAGACAACTGTCGATCGGCCTGCTGTTGGAACGGGCGGCAAGGTGAATCGAGGTGACCACCGCCGCGTTTCATTTTTTCGTCTGATACGTACCCAGCTTCATCTTTCATTCATCGCACTTGCAAGCGTACGAAGCTCTGAACGCCGATTGGTTTCGAAAGCGTTGCGCTCCTGGGCGGAGGCATTTTCTGGAAGTTCCTGAGGATATCTGGGATGCAATCTCGCCTGTTGGGACACTGCTGGAACAATTCATAATGCTTCTGAATATTGACTTGAGCCAGCGTCGTGTTCCTGACATGGATCTGAAAACCCGGCATAATTTGATCTTAAGGATCTGGAAACCCACCTCTTTCCTAAATCTGGGTCTTGCCCCTTGCCCTTGCCCTTTGCACCTCCACGGCCTTTGCCCTTGCCGCGGGCTTGGCTCGAAGAACCGGAAGCTGCGGCGACCCTTGACCATGCTGTCCTTTCTGGGCAAATGGCGGTCTCTGCAGGGTCGCGCACGATCTGCAAGTCTCCCTTTCGTCGCAGTTGAGCAGACCACAGAACGAGCAATCCCTGAAACCTGACATATCTATGGAAGGGAACCGTTGTGCTGAGTGATGTTGCGCGACAAGCCCGCGAGCTGATATAACCGCTGGATCTGCAAGCCTGACCAGCACTCTGGCAGCAACACGGCGCCCACGCTGCCGCCTATGCCGTGCAGGCTCAGGCACAGACCTCTTCGCCGTGCCGATGGCGAACGCGGTTGGCCGTCTGGGGAGCCAGCGCGCTAGGCCTTCTGAGGCCTGAGGCCAGGCCGAAGGGGGGCCTGAGCCGGGGCGGCCTCAGGAGCAGGGCGAGGCGGAGGAGAACAGGAGGGAGGGGGAGGAGGACGGCGAGGGCTGGGAATTGAAACGAGGGTGAGGGAGGGCGGCGGGGAACCCGACACGACGCAGCCGCCATGGCTTGCGCCTCCGCCGCCCCGGGCGGTGCCGCGCGGCCGCCATGGCGGCCGAGGCGGCGCAGGCGCGCTCCAACGGGTGCGTGTATGCCCTGTGCGAGGACGCTCTTCCTGCGACCGGTTGTGACGCTCCCTCCTCTTCCTTCTTCTCCTCCTCCTCCTCCTCCTCCTCCTCCTCCTCCTCCTCCTCCTCCTCCTCCTCCTCCTCCTCCTCCTCCTCCCCCTCCATTCCTTTCCCTCGTACAGAACTTCTCCCTGTCGCACCCCGAGGCCGGTTTTTAGGGCGGGCTGGGCGTCTCGCCTGAGAGTTCTTCACCGCTTATGACCCTGAAGCGTACAATTTGGCAACGGCTTTACAGATTGAGGGCGGGTCGTTTTCAAAATTTGGCTCTCGCCTTAGCTCGGCGCACATTCGTCTTAAACATTTGTCAGAACTCCCCGACTTGAGGGCGGTTCCTTTTCAAACTGCGGCTCTCGCCTTAGCGCCGCGCGCATTCGTTTAAACATTTGTCAGAACTCCCCGACTTGAGGGCGGTTCCTTTTCAAAATGTGGTTCTCGCCTTAGCGCCGCGCGCATTCGCTTTAAACATTTGCAACAGTTTCGCGGATTGAGGGCGGTTCCTTTTCAATATGTGGTTCTCGCTTTACCGCGGCGCACATTCGTTTACAACATGCTCAAAAGCTTCACGGATTCCCATCATCAGCGTATTAGAAATAGTGTTTTGCAAGGGTTCTGGATTATGCGGGTGCAGTTGTTACGTTGGCTCTCTGCGTTGAAGTCCTAGAAATGGCGCTCTGGCACGATTCAGGATCGTCAAGACGCAACAACCAGGTTGACCTGTGGCGTTGGAATCCCGAGAACAATGTTTTGGCATGCTTCAGGGTCTTCAAACGGGTGTTTTCCAACGAGGCAGTTCCATCAATGAAGATAAACCAGGATCGCCTCTCCCGACGCGTGCACTGCTGGCCCGGACTGCGTGTCCAGCATATACGAGCGCAAGTCGGCCTACTACGCCCCGTACAGCGACCTTCTGGACCGCCAGAACATCGTGTACCAACTGCTAGTATGGTCTCCGCTTACGGCCGACCCCACCCCCGGACGACATCCATCCTCCGCACACTCGCGAGCCGCCTTGCCTGGCGGAAGGGATGCTCGGACGGGGCGTGGCGGTACCGCCGCCTGGCCAGCGCGGCCGGAGTGGCAGTCAGGCGGCGGGCGGCCGCCCACGTTAGGGCGCGCTGGCCCGACCCGGGCGGCGGCTGAGGGCGCCGGCTCCCCCCGCCCCCCCTCCCCCGCCCGCCTCTCTCCAGCGCGCGCGCGCGCCTAACCAGAAGGGCTTGGTGGCTCACGCCCCGCGGCCGCGCTTCCCCCGCTGCCGCCTGCTTGCTTGCCTGCTCGCGTCCTGCCCCTCTCCCTCCCTCTCCTCCTCGTTCCTTCGCTTCGCCCTCCTCTGTTCTCTTCTCCGGGGCCCGCAGGCCGCGTGTCGACGCGATGCGATTTGTTGTTCCTCTTCCTCCTCCTCCTCCTCCTCCTCCTCGTCCTCCTTCTTGCGAGCGAGATCTTGTCTGGCTTAGTCCACTCAGTCTGACGCGTCTGGGCCTGCGACTCGTCAAAGACGGGCATGCAAGTGTACGGATGGGACGCTGCGGCAAGCCGGTGCGCGGAGGTCTCGCCGCAAGGCTCCCGGGACCTTCGTGTATTTTGGGCCCTGTCCTTCCAGGTGCTCCTCGCTTTGATAGACCCAGGCAGCGGCCGAATATCGGCCTCGCTGCGGGGACACAGCTTTGGCTCGGCATTGCTCCTTGTGCGTCAGTCGACCCCTCGCCACAGGCGTCGCGGCGCGGACGGAAGCTGCGAGCATTTAGCAGTGCTGCATTTTCCGGCAACCCGAATGTCCGCAGCGTGTAAAGAGGGATCATGGATGGAGGGTGTATTCCAACATCGTTGATGACTCTTGAGTTTACACTGGTCCTCCTCGTCCTCCTCGTCCTCCTCCTCCTCCTCTTCCTCCTCCTCCTCCTCCTCCACCTCCCCGTTCTCTTCCTCCTCTTCCCCGTCCTCCTCCTCCTCCTCCTCCTCCTCCTCGTCCTCGTCCTCCTCCTCCTTCGCGCGTCACGCGGCCGCCAGGCAGTGCGGTGACCACGCCGTGTGGCGAGCCGCTGGGGAGTCGCGGTCACCGCGCGGTTTTGTGACTCGCAGGGTGCTCCGAGAGGCTGGGGCCTCCAGGGTTCTAGCACCGATGGCTGAAGGGCCGTGCGGTCTGTCACCACACAGTTTTGGGACACGCCCAAGTCACATAATGACGGTGGCCAGCAGTGGCGATCAAGAAAGGGTTCCGCCCTCGAAGACTGAAGGAGTCGACATCTCTGCCTCGGCGGGAGGCCCGCGGAAATCGGCGGACGCAGAACGAGGGAGGCTCCGCCGGCGGAAGCCAACGGAAGCATTGCAGAAGGCGGCGGGCGCAAATCCAGCCCTCCCCCCCCAGAAGATGCAGCCGTTTTTCGGGCTCAGGGTTCCCAGACATGCGATGTCCTCATTTGTGTTCCGAACGCGGTCCCCCGGAGGTCCCGAAACCTTCCCCGAGACCTCAGCCTCTCCTCCCGAGTCGTTTGTTTGACGGTCTTGGGGCCCGGCAGAGGACCCCCAGAGGTCGAGAACGACGAACCATCTCCGCTCTGCAACGACGCGAGCATGTATGGGTTTCCAGACCCCGCCACACCACCCGCACCGTGCCACGTTGCAGACGGGCTGGCCGCAGCCGCACGGGCGCTGGTGTGGGCGGCAGACCCCCCGGCCGTGGCCCAGCCCCGGCAGGCCCGCTCTTAGGCTGCCTGCCCAGCCAATGCGGAGAGGCGGGCTCCTCTTGCGGGAGCCGTCCCTCCAGCTGGCCGTGGCCGCCCGTGTTACTCAGTTTCCTCCTCCCTCAGATCCTGGCGCTGCAATTGTTTCGCAAGGGGCGTTTTTCGCCCGGTTTCGGGCACTGGGGCCCACATCGTATAGGATCCGGTTCTCCCAACAGTGACGCATAAAGATGGGGCATGGGGCTCTGGCCGTATCTTTTGCGATGCTGGATGTTTTCCGCAGCGTTAGATCTCAGCGGTCCTCTTTCTCCTCCTCCTTCCCCTCGTCCTTCTCCTCCGCCTCCTCCTCCTCCTCCGCCTCCTCCTGAACCGAACTGAACCTACATCGGAGGCGACAACACGTAGACGATGCACCACCGAAGCTGGCACAGCGGCGCGTGTGCACAAGAGAGCTGTACTGCCCCTGCTGTGCTGTCGGGGAGGCGGGGCCGACGCACGACGCGGACGGCCTCCCAGCGCATCGGCTCCGAGGTGCGGCGGCGGAGTCTGACCGGTCGGCGGACGCTGCTGGCCCCCGCGCTCTGCCCACGAGGGGTGCACGAGCACAGTCCCCCGCTGGACTGAGGGAGGGGAGCTCCTGCAGTGGAGGCCCATGCCAAGAAGCACCCTGCTTGCATCCGGGGTCCCCTGGGTTTCTGGGGCTCCGACGGCTTTGCTGTGGGGAGCGTGGCGCTCCCACACCCTGGGGTCTCAGGGTTGGGTTTCCTGTGGAAGGTTTCTTGTGGGCTGGCCTCCACGGTAGGGGAGCTCCCACGAGCCAAGGCGGGCGGCTCGAGCTCTCCTGGGGAGCGGCCCGAACCGCGAGAGCTGCTGCCTCCATCCCTCATCCCCCCTTTTCACGCTCGCTGCCAGTCGCAGCGATCCTCAGAACCGCGGACGCAAGGTGCGTCCGCACGGCCTGCACCTCCCCGCGCTCCGCCGTGGCAGCTCGCCTCCTCCCGGCGGCTGACCCTGGCAGGCCGTGGCGCCCTCGTGCTCGGGCATCCTCGGCATGACGATCCGCAGGTCCCTCGTGACGACCGGGTGGACCGGCATCTTGCTCCAGTCGTGACGGCCCGCCCTCGGCGCACCTCCGGCGCCCTGCTTCTTCTGCAGCCACGCCCCGCATTCCAGCTGCATCGTCGCGAGCGAGTTGGGCTTCGCCGTCGGCATCGCCGCGTCCTCGCCCTCGCGCTCCTCGTCGCCCCGCGCCCGCTTGGTCGTGCCCGACCTGAAGGTCTCGCCCGCCAAGTCCTGTCACTCCTCCTGGCTCTGGTTCAGCGAGTACATCACGTCATGCTCCAGCGTGACCTGCTCGCCCTTCCCGTGGCCGTCGGTCAGGAGGCCGTTCGCCGCTGCCTTCACGATCTCGACGTGACGAGCACCTGCATCTAGCACCGCCGCCGCTCGACTGCGGTGTGGTGGGCTGCCGTGTGCTCCTTCTTGCCATTCGTCAGGTAGCTGCTGTCGACACATGCCACTGTGCCAGGACTGGGATGGATGGTTGCCGAGGTGGATCCCGCGCTGGCCTTTCAAGTTGTTACAACTTGAAAGGTCAGCCGTTGCCCACCAAAGTCTCCCTCGTACGCTTCCCCAGCGGTGCAAAGGTCTGCTTGCGCCTCGTGCCCTACGCTCCCACGGGCCTTTGTCGAAGGTGGGAATCACGAGAGGCTCGCTGTCCGCGTATCCTAGCCCATCGTCCGCGCCATTGATCCTCAAGACTGCGTGATCATGTACTGCGTCACGGCTGCGTCACGCCATAGCCCCTGCCCCCTACGAACCCGTCCACCAGTTGATGCTCTGGTAAGCTGCCATTTACACGTAGCTTGTATCGCCTTTGTCACGCCTGCCCCGCCCGTCTTCGACATCCCGCACTTCCACTCCTGGACGCCCCCGATCCTCCGCACCTGCTTGAACTCCTCCGTCCGCTCATCGACAATGGCCTGATGAAGTGTGCGTCGCCGTGCTTTGCATCTGGCAGTGATATGACAATGACGGGCGACCGCAACTTCCACTCGACGGAATCGAACTTCAACACTACCTCACAAGCTGGTGTCGCTGCCATCGGCTCTCCAGCCTGATGTAGGTTTTACAGCTCGCGAGGTGCAACAGCACGTGCCGCGAGAGCCTGGATGCGTTCCTGTAGTGGTCGTGCTCCTGGCCGAACTGCTTGGTCTTCTGGAAGCCCTTCTGGGCCGCCTCTCGGACGGCGGTCGTCAGCAGCCTGGACTCGACGCCTGCGCAGTACTCGTGTCGCCTGCATCCCTTCGTTGTGCGCCACTTGTGGCTGTCGCGGTCGATCTTGATAGTGACGCGCACGATGTGTTCGTATCCCGTGCGGTAGACAAATTGGAACTCCATGAGGCATCGATCTCGATGGTTAGCCGACGGACCAGGTGGCATCGCCCTCATTCAAGGGAGGAGAAACCACACGGACACGACAATTTGCGTTTACTGAACGTCCCTTGGGGTTTACTAAACAGCCTTGCCCTGTTCGATTCCTTCTTTGGCCGCGTTTACCAAACGACTTCGCGTGTCGGTGTGGTTTTTTTTGGGGTGGATTTTTTGACCTCTACTCATCACCTGCAACTGGCGCCCGCACTCCACCTACGACGTGCTCGTGGAGACGTGGTCGATCCAGCTGCCCGATCTCTCACCGAAGTAGCTGGCGGGTACGCCGGACTGGGTGTTCACCGCTGTCGCGTAGTTGGTTTCGGCACACCATTGCAAAGTGGGCACGTGCGGAGGGGCCGCCACGCGTCCCGCTGCCTCGTCCTTCTCGTACCCTACCTGCTCGTTGGAGCCACCTGCCACGAAGCTCCTCTATCTATGGCCAGCCTCCGCCCCCATGAACTTCAGAATCGTCTGCATGGCCCCTTGCCTCTCCGCGCAGCTGCCCGAAATGGACGAGTAGCCACCGAAGACAAGCACGGGCGTCGTCGCCGTGACCACCTTGAGGCCGCCCACGCGGCCAGTCACTCCCCTCGAAGTTGGAGGCCCGTGCACCTGATTGACTCGCACACGCTGCGGCCTAGCACTCTGCTCAGCCCCTCGCTCGTGTTGGTGATGCGCCTCCTCTTCCATTTCCAGCTGGGGACCATGTGCTTCGACGAGCGAATGGAGGGGACGGCGATGTCGTGGTCTGCGCTGACGAATTGCCGCATCGCCTCGGACTCCAGTTGCGCCCTCCTCGCTGGCATCGGCTTCCGGTAGTACAGGCCCACCGTCAGAATCAGAGTAAGGAACCTCATTTGCATCATGTACGGTCGGTTCGTGTCGTGTCGACTGGCTGCGACCCCGCCGCCGGCGTTCAACGTTGAACGCCGCCAGCGAACCAGTCGATGTTCAACCATCTGACGTTTCGGAGACGGCCGATCGTTCAAGGTCGACCGATCCCCCTTGTGTCAGGAACCAACGCCGAGGTCGATACGCTGCGAACCCGGGGTAGTGTCCCGCCAGGCTCCGCGAGGCTAGGCTTAAGCCGGGCCTGTCTATCCACAGGAGGAAGATTCAAAAACGGTCAAAACGTATTCGGAGTCATTTTTTCACCATTGAATATTTTAAACCAGTCTTCATTGTTCCTCGGAAATCGGCCTGTAGGCTACGGGCCCGACCTAAGGCTAGGCAAGAGAGGCGGCTCTGCCCCCATCCCGCGGCAGTGCGCCCCGCCGCTCCCCCGACGGGCCGTCGGGCCCCGAGCACCGCTGTGGCCGCGCAGGCCCCCCCAACAAAAGAGGTCGTGGCGACCTCCTCCTCCTCCTCCTCCGCCTCCTCCTCCTTCTCCTCCTCCTCCTCCGCCTCCTCCTCCTCCTCCTCCGCCTCCTCCTCCCTCCTCCTTCTCCTCCTCCTCCCTCCGCCTCCTCCTCCTCCCCTCCTCCTCGCCTCCTCCCCCTCCTCCTCCTCCTCCTCCTCCTCCTCCTCCCCATTCTCCTTCTCTCTCCTCCTCCTCCTCCTCCTCCTCCTCCTCCTCCTCCTCCTCCTCCTCCTCCCTGTCCTCCTCGTCCTCCTCTTTCGCCTCCTCCTCCTCCTCCTCCCTGTCCTCCTCGTCCTCCTCCTTCTCCTCCTCCTCCACAATGAAACAAAATGAATACGATTTTTCTGTCCCCTGGTGGCGTCCGGGAAATGGGCGCCCCCCCTGCGCGTACTGGTTCTATTATACACAGGATTCCCGGAAAACGGGTTTTCGCTTTGGTTTTGTTTTCGAAATGCTGCTCTCGCTGAAGCGCTGGCCTCATTTTCGGGCTACCGCTCGTTCCGAATCGTGCTCCCGCTGCAGCGCTGGCCTCATTTCCGGGCTTGCGTTCGTTCCGAATCGTGCTCCCGCTGCAGCGGTCTGCAGCGGTGGCGTCATCATTTCCAGTGCCATGCCATGGCATGGTTTTCGATCCTTCCAAATATGTTCCAACATCTAGAAAATGCCCCTCGAAAAGCCATCGGAAGTGATTACACATTCGGTGTCGATTTGTTGATTTTCTGGGTCGCGTCCACTTTGGGCGTCGCCACGCCATGCTATGTCAGGCTACGCGTCCTCATTTCCGTGCTTCCGCGCTTGGTTTTTTCAAAATGCTGCTCTCGCTGAAGCGCTGGCCTCATTTTCGGGCTACCGCTCGTTCCGAATCGTGTTCCCGCTGCAGCGCTGGCCTCATTTCCGCGCTTGCGCTCGTTCCGAATCGTGCTCCCGCTGCAGCGGTCTGCAGCGGTGGCGTCATTATTTCCAGTGCCATGCCATGGCATGGTTTTCGGCCCTTCCATATAGGCCCCAAAATCTGAATATTGGCTTCCCGAAGAAAAACCATCGAAAGTGATTACACATTCGGTGCCGATTATTTGAGTTGTTGGGCCGCAGAAGTACCCCCCTCATTTTGGTCCGTCGCCACGCCTTGTCATGTCATGCTACGCGTTAATCTTCAATACCATGCTATGCCATGTAATGCTATACCATGCTGCGACATCAGATTGTGCGAATAGGGAGGAGATCTACGCCATGGTAAGGGATGGGAGGGGGGGGGGTAGGACGTCAGATATGACGCGAGCGCGTCTAGCTTGTCATCCTCCCCCTCCTCCTCCTCCTCCTCCTCCTCCTCCTCCTCCTCCTCCTCCTCCTCCTCCCTGTCTCTGGGCAGTCGTCGATCGTTCCCTGCCTCTGGGTTCTTGGGCTGGCTTCTCCATCCCGAGTCGCTCCCTTACGGCCCTGCAGCCAAGCCCGGGGGCCCCGGGAGGTCGAAAGCGGGGGGGAGCACACAGCTCGGCGCAGTGCAAGGTCGGAGAAAGGGTATCGCGTCCAACAGCCTCGAACCCCGAGCACTAAGCCGGGCCTGTCCCTCTGCGGGGGAGACTCAAAAATAATAGAAAATTGACCATTTGGGGGTTTTGTTTGACTATCTTTGATTCGTCTAAAATCTCCCTGTATGAGGACAGGCCCGACTTAATCCGACCATCGATTTGTTCGAATTCCAGGCGCTGTCCAGCCATGCGTGCGCCTTCCCGCCCAGGCGCCAAAAATGGCAACTCTACCGGCAGCTTCCGCGTCCGATTCTTCGAAACGCCAGGCCCTGAGATCCGACGCGGCGAAGCGCGCGCAACATGATGACATGATGAGGCATGCCCACCGCAGCTCCAGACCCGGCCTGTCTGCGGCGTTGTCCGAGCCGGATCGATCTTCGAGGGTTCCGAGGCCTGGAGTGGGGCGGAGCCGCCTTGGTGAGGAAAGTTGCCGTAGCAAGCGATGGGAGCCTCGTATGTCCTCGTATCGTCTCGTCTTCACAGTACATTAGCGAGCGCTGGCGTCTGATAGCGGATGAGGGAGCGTCGATTCGGCGTCGATTCAGCGCCGATCAGCGCCGGCCAGCGCCGATCCGCAAGAACCAGCAGGATGTCGACTACACGTAAGAGTGACCCTTTGCCGGCGAGACCCTTGGTGCGGGCTCATCGGGGCTCTTCCGATGGAGGAGCGCGATGCGACAGCAGCTGATTGCGCGCTTGGAGCTGGTCGTCTTGCGCCCCTCCAGTCCGCGCACCGAGGGTCACTCGCTCTTGCTTGGGGTCACCCTTGCGTGTGGTCGAAGATGGTGTGGTAGGCTCCCATGATCAGGCAGTGGCGAAGCGTCCTGGCTCGCCTATAGCTCTACCAAACAATGTTCTAAGAACTTTTTTGTGGTTTCCACGAAATGTTCTAAGAACATGTACGGCGGAGTCTGTCTTGTTTTATCACACCGGGTTTCTGTTCTAGGAACATTTGGTTTTTGTTGTTGGATCATTTTTGGGTTCTAAGAACATGTCGTGGTAGGACTATAGAATTGCCGGGACGGTCGGTCCCTGCTCAACATGAGTCAGGAGGGGAAAAACACACAGACACAATTAATCGTCCACTCCCAGGGAAATATGGGAAAATATGGGAAGTGGGGGGGAAGACAAAAAACTCTAAAAATATAGGAAAATATGGAGAATCCTTTTATTTGTGTGTATTTATTTGTGTGTCCCAGGGCCCCTTCAATGAGATTCCCCCGAAGTCTCGGTGAGCTGTCTGGGCCCCCGCCCGCCCGAGGACGGCACCCTCTACGCGCGCCACGAGGCCGCGCGCCCGGACCGCCCGGAGGTGGGGCCGAGGGACTGCGCGTGGGTGCCGCAGGTGAACATCGGCACCGCGCACAGGCCCCGAGGAGGAGCAGGAGGAGGAGGAGGAGGAGGAGGAGGAGGAGGAGGACGAGGAGGAGGAGGGGGAGGAGGAGGAGCAGGAGCAGGAAGCTCCGTCCACAGGAAACGAGGCCTCCTGGATGGAAACAGGAAGCGCCCTGAGGAGGATCGTAGGGGAACAAAAAGTGTCATAAAAACATAAAAACTCGGAGGTCCGCGCGGATTTCTCGGATCGGCGCTGGGGCCCCCCTCCCTGGCGCGCGGGGCGCGCCAGGGGCGGCGCTGGAGGCGCCGCCGGGGGGGCCCAGCGCCGATCCGAGAAATCCGCGCGGACCTCTGAGTTTTTCTGTTTATGTCACTTGTTGTTTCCCTAGATCGAGGAAACGAGGCCTCCTGGATGGGGTCCTAGTGGATGGGGGTCGGAGGATTGCGACGCGGAGCCCGATTTGCTCCACGCCGGCATCGCCGATGAATCGCCGACGTCGGCGACGCAATTTTCCGAACCCATCTAGTCGGATATATTATGGGAGGCCTCTAAGGAGGGAGCCTGAGGATCGAGCGTCGAGGATCAGAGTCGTCGGAGCCTTGGGGAGCTGGAGGACGGTGGAAGGTGGGTCGTCCGTCTCCAGATAGTATGTGCCACCTTTCGCTGGCTTCCTGGAGGGCATCCCTCGAAAGGGAAGTCTCCGCCTCTCGAGATTCTGGTCCGAACGCATCCAAGGAGAGGTCCGGGAGTAAACGTAAATTTGAAGGGGGGGAAGGGATTGCATGATGCGGAGGAAAAGCGACGAAACAATGATGAGAGAATCAGGATGAGGAGAAGGAGGAGGAACGATGATGATGATGAGGAGGAGGAGGAGGCGGAGGAGGAGGAGGAGGCAGAGGACGAAGTACGGCGGGGGGGGGTATTTGGAGTAGTAGGAATGATCCAGCTTGATGGAGGAGGCATCTCCAGGAGAGGGAGGAGGAAAACATAGAGGAAGGTGGAGGAAGGAGCGAGGAGGAGGAGGAGGAGGAGCAGCAAGAGGACCAGCAGGAGTGGGAGGATAATGATGAGGATCCATAGTATGAGGAGGAGGAGGAGGAGGAGGAGGAGGAGGAAGAGGAGGAGGAGGAGGAGGAGGAGGAGAGGTGAGTCGGGAGGAAAAGAGATGAGGATGAGGAGGAGCAGCAGGAGGAACACTATTGGCGGGGCGGAGGGAGCGAGGGGGGGGATGAGCATGAGAATGATGACTAGCAGGGAGTGCCGAGGAGCTGGAGTAAGACGATGAGCAGGGGCAACGGAGGACGAGCTTCACTGCCCATAGAGGGAAAGAGTCCTTGGGAGAGAAGGTCAACGAGGTGGGGAGGGGTCCATCCGATGAGGGCTTTTGGTTCCCTGCCTGAGGTTCCATCCCCCAGGCAGCGCCCGCCGACAGGACAGCCCAACCCTGCCCCAATATATATATATATATATATATATATATATATATATATATATATATATATATATCACATTGTTGCCTCTGGGTCGAATTCTCCTCTGGACTTCCGAGCCTGAGCCGGCGCCCTAGCCTCCAGCTCGAGCACGCCGACCTCCTCCCCGGCCCGGCACGCGCAATCCCACAGCGAGCAGCACCGCAGCCGCCAGCCTTCCCCCCGGGCTGCCTGCTCGGCGACAGGGCGCACGCTCGGGCCGGACTGCACGGCACCCCTCCCGCCGCCAACCCGAGTTGGCACTTGGGTGGCCTCAGAGGGGGTAAAACGACGCGAAGATCGGGACAAAATCGGATCGGGATAACTCGAAATCTCGGAGAATCGGCGGGTTTGGAGGATGTATTGGGCGCCGCGGCCGCTCCAGAGCGTTCCGGAACGCTCTGAGAGCGCTCCGGAACGCTCTGGAGCGATTTATCCCGATCCTAGCCCTCTTTTAGGAACAGGCGTCGGCGAACAACGAACCGGCTAACCAGCCCCTCCCATGGCTCACTCGGGGGGCGCGAGCGCGGCCCCGCCCTGCCCCATTGGAGGCCTCGCTGGCATGGCCGGGCCGCAAAGTGGCGGCACGATGGGCCACAATGGCATGGCCTCCTTCGGGGACCTGGGCCGACATGATGCAGTGCTCATTCACTCTCCAAGGGATGGCCCCCAGGCCATGGCGGCTTCCCCAAGGTCCCACGCCGACCCCCCAGAGGAGAAGGAGGTAGCAGCAGGAGGAGGTGCCATGGAGGACGAGGATGAGCACAAGCAGGAGATGGAGGAGGGGAGTACCGCAGGGTCATCGCCGTCGACGAGGGCTATCTGTACGGCATCCGGGGGCGCCAGGCCTACCGTATACCCATCCGCCTCGCCTGCTCGATCCAAGTCGCGGACTGCTTATGCTTATGAAAAGCTCATTGTCACCCAGAGGCTCAGCATCATTCAAAATACAGGTTCAACCTTCATTGCGGTTGTCTGCTGTCTTCTCTACACAGACGATCTACGAAGCCTTGAGCTGGATGGTTCTGGCCTTCTGTCATTGCTCCTCATCGTCCGGCCTATCGCTGCTGCCCGCATCTCTCTGCCTGCCTCCTCATGGTCCTTATCCTTCTCCTCCTCCTCCTCCTCGTGCAATCTCTCGTGTTCTCCTCGGGCCCATGGCTTGCACATCTCTCTGCCTGCCTCCTCATGGTCCTTATCCTTCTCCTCCTCCTCCTCGTGGAGTAGAGTAGGGTAGAGTATCCTAGGGTAGGGTAGAGCAGGGTAGAGTAAGAGCATATTGTACTAGACAAGAGTGGGGTAGCTGGTAGAGTAGAGTGGAGTATTACAGAGCAGCGTAGAGTAGGGTAGAGCAGCGTAGAGCCCACCCCAGTCCAGTCCAGTCTACTCCTTTCCAGTCTACTTTAGTCCACTCCAGTCCACTTCACGTCAGCCTTCTGATCTATTGGGAATCTGCGCCAGGCTTATGTTGCGCATTGAGCCGTCTGTTGTCCGTCGTCGTCGTAGTCGTCGTCGTCGTCGTCGTCGTCGTCGTCGTTGGCGCCCGTGCAATTCAGAGGGGGGGAGGCCCCCTCCCCCGGTTCGAACCCCATCCCCCCTTGACATTCAGGGTCCCCCCCCCTACGTTCGAACCCCCCTTCCCCCCAGCAGTTCAGGGGGGGCGAGGGCCTGCCCCGGTTCGAAGCCCCCTCCCTTGCACAAGGGGGGGGAGCCTGGTTCGAGCCCCCCCCCCCCCCCGTTGGAGGGGGGGGGGCCCTCCTGGTTAGGGAGGCCGACGTCTGGGGGGGCGGGGGTGGGGGCGTTTGTCAGGGCACGCTAAATGTTTTTGTTCGGGAGCTCCCCCCGCGGTTCCCACGTGAACGGTACTTCTCCATCGCAGCTTCCACGAACCGCATCTTTTTTTTTTGTTCTCTCTCTCTCTCTCTCCCTCTTTCTCTCTCTCTCTCTCTCTCTCTTCCTCCATTTTTCGTCTGTATAGACATACCCCAAATCGTGTTTGCCTCGTGGCCGTCGCGTGCGCTGCGTGGATCCAGCGAGGGGTCGCAACGCTGCCGCCCGTGACCGCGTCGTGGCCGCCTCGTGCGCTCGGTGGGTCTGGCGAGGTTCAGCCACGTTGCCGCCCGTGGATGCCTCGCGAGCTGCACCACGCATTCTGCACCACATGCCTCGCACATCTCCAGTGCAATCATGTACCCTTTTGGACAAAGCTGTATGTATGTGTGGAGGTCTCTGCATGATTGTATGTGTATGTGTAGCATGCCTATGTTCATCCCCATAGTGACACGGGATGGGCGTCACCCCAGCCCCCCCCCCCCTGCAGACCGCCCTCAGCTTGACTCCCACGGTCCTCATGGCCCTCCCGGCCGTCCTTGCCAGGCAGCTCAGGCAAGCAGGGGCGGCCTCAGACCTCCCCGACGCGTTTTAAAGGGCGACTGCGCCGACCCACGATGGCCCCAACGCGGCCCATCGGATTTCAAAGAGAAGTTTTCAGATGTCCAGAAAACGCACCAACAAGCAAACGCCCGTAGGTTTAATGACTTCAGCAGGCCCGCCTCTTCGGTCTGAAAGGGAGCCATGGACACCCCCAGAGACCCCCGAGATCGACCATGACATCCCAGGAGGAGGAGGAGGAGGAGGAGGAGGAGGAGGACGAGGAGGAGACAGCCCCCAAGAGGGCCCCAAGGCGCCCCAAGAGTGCCTCAGAAGTGGCTGGAGGCGGCCCAACAGAGAGCCCCAAGACGGCTCCAAGATGCCTCCAAGACGGCGGTCCCTGGACGGCCCGGGAGCAACCCAAGACAGCCCAAAAGAGCCTATAGACGGCCGAGAATGCCCCAGGACGCCTCCAAGACGGCCCAGAAGGGCCTGCGAAGTTGCCCCAACGAGGCCCGCGGTGGCCCTCTACTCTGGACCCGTTGTGCTCATCCAGTCGTTCCGACATGTACCTCGCGGGTTAGAGTTCAGCTGCAGTCGAGCAAGCTGTTTTTCGAGCATCGGCGGTCAGAAGTGTCTCGCTTGTTCCACATGGGGCAGTGGGCGGCGTTGACTCGCCGTCGGCGCCCCCGCCCCCCATAACGGACGGTACCACTCGTGCAGATCATCATGCCCCACAGTGCCGGTTCATACAGTGTCGGCTCGCTTGCAGCCTCACTTACAGGGCCTCACCGTGCCAGTCCACACAGCGTCCTCCGCCCACCTTGGCACACCCTTCGCGCGGATCCTGCCGCAGAGAGAGCTCCATGTACGGGCCTCGGCGGGCCAGTCCGAGCAGCGTCCCAGCGCGCATTTCCGCGCACCCCTCGCGCGGATCGCGATCCACAGGTAGGGAGCCCAATATACGACGTCGGCAGGCTTGTTCGCATATCGTCCTCGCGCCTATTTCGACACACCCCTCGCGCGGATCCTGCCAGATCGAGAGCCCCACCTGTGGCCTCAATGGGACAGTGCGCAATCGGCTCTGCGTCACGCGGATCCTGCCCCATGGGGAGCCTCACCTTCGGCCTCAGTGTGCCAGTTTGCATACCGTTCATCCGCTAATGACGCCGCACCTCACAAACGGACCGTGCCCCATAGGGAGTTCCGGCCTAAGGCCTCAGTTGCCAAATTTGCGCGCCGCCCCCGTGCACGTTCCGGCACACCACCCACGCGGATCCTGCCACATCGGGGGCTCGATTTACGACCCCTTGTGCAGTTTGCGCACCGCCCCTGTCCCTCACGCGAATCCCGACCCATTGGGAAATCCACCCACGGCCCCGGTTAAGGAGCTCGCGTGCGCCCCCCCCCTCGATCGCTGTGGCCCGCTCCGCACGCGGATCGTGCCCAGTGGCCAGCGCCACCTACGGCTTCAGTGGGCAAGTCTTGCAGGCGCGATGTCGCCCATGCCGCCGCACCTCTCCAAGGGATCGCGCCCCATGGGGAGCTCAATGTACCAGGTACGGCCTCCGCGGGGATGTTCGCAGATCGCCCTCTCGCCCATCTTGGCACACCCCGCACGCTGACCGCGCCTCACAAGGAACCTCACCTGCCGCGCTCTGGCGGGGCGCAGTCTATGGTGAGAGTGCCAGCTAATACTCTCGTTAAGCGAAGGCTGATGCAGCGTACGCCGTCGTCGATTTTTCAGTGCTGAGCAGATCGCTTCTGATGTTGGTGCCCGACGTAACACCGCTGCTGCGTCTTCGAACCTTCATCTCGTCCCTCCTCCTCCTCCTGCTTCTCCTCCTCCTCCTTCTCCTCCTTCTCCTCATCCCTTGCCCGCGGCGCCCTCGCCCAGGGCACGGTGGATGCGCAGACGGTCCGCCACGCAAGCGACGTGGGCTGGCGCACCGTGGGCGCGAACACCAGCGTGGTGAGCATCTCGGGGCACGCCGGCCAGCTGTATGCCGTCGGGGACAAGTCTGGCGGGCTCCTCTCGCCGTCAGCGTCGTCGTTCGTCGTCCCTCTCCCTCTCCTCTGCATCCTCACCTCTGCCGCGTGCGCGATGTTATGTTTCAAAGTCCGGGAATGTTGAACAGCCTGAACAGCAATGCCGTCGCGCCTTTGCTCCAGCAGTATTTCAGATTCGGCTCAGCACGGGTTGTGCTACCCGAGTCACCATGGAACCGCTCTCATCGTAAAGGGCCCTTACAGCGTTCGCTGGCACGGGCAACTCAAAACCATTCCCAAACAACCCCCCGACATGCCTTTCCACAACCGCCTCGGAGGCACACACACACACACACACACCGCACAGAGACCCGCAATCCCGATCCATCACCACGTGTTTCCTTCTTCCGTGGTCGGCGTGGAGTCGTCGTCGCTTCCGCCGAGGTCCAAAGTCGGCATCCTCGGGCACGGACTCACCGCGCTCGACATTGGGGTGATCTTCCCGGGCGGATGCAATGCGGGCCCAGACTGCGTGGCAAGCACTTACGAACCCAAAGTTGTGTTTCTTTCGCTCCCAACAGCGATGTCCTGGACCACCAGAAACCGCCAGAACTTCTTTCGACACCTTTGGACGACCTCCATCTTCCGCACACTCGCGACCCGCCTTGCCCGGCGGATACGATGCTCGGACGGGGCGGCCGCCCACGTCAGGGCGTGCTCGCTTGACCCCCGCCCCAGGCTGCCCCCCAACCTGCCCGCGCGCCTAACTTTCGGTGCGCGGCCGTGCTCCCCCGAGTGCCGTTCGCTTGCCTGCCTGCATTCTGCCTCTCCTCCGTCTCCTCTGTCTCCTCCTCCTCCTCCTCCTCCTCCTCCTCCCCTCCTCCTCCTCCTCCTCCTTTCTCCTCCTCTCCTCCTCCTCCTCCTCCTCCTCCTCCTCCTCCTCCTCCTCCTCCTCCTCCTCCTCTCACCTCCTCCTCCTCCTCCTCCCCCTCCTCCTCCTCCTCGTCCTCCTCTTCCTCTTCCTGTGAAGTTTTGGTGTAGCGGCCGATCCGCGATTTTAAGCTTATCCCTCGTGGTGTTTTCCTCCTCGTCCTCCTCCTCGTCCTCCTCCTCGTCCTCCTCCTCCTCCTCCTCCTCCTCCTGCTCCCCCTCCCCCCCCCTCCTCCCCCTCTCCTCCTCCCCGTCTTCATCCTCATCCCCATCCCCGTCCCCATCCTCTCTGCGTTGCATCGTCGCCGCCTTGCACGCGCTGCCCGCGAAGGTGGCCGGGCGCAGACATCAGAGGTGTGTCTTTCCCTTCGGTCTGGGTCTCGGTCTCCGGTCTGGGGTTTTCCGCGGTCCAAACAGAAAAGATCGAGGCGGATCCCGCCGTGGCGACGAGGGCGACGCAGAAGGCCCAGGCGAGCAAGCATCCAGGTCGTCGTTGCCGATGTCGCCCGTCGCCCGGCCCCGGAGGCCATTCCGCTGACCAGGGCGCTGCAGACTGCCCTATGGATCGTTTGCTCGCGAAACTTTGGGCTTAGTCATTTCGCCCGTGCGTTCGATACCGCGCTGGCCAATTCGCTTGTCGGTGCCCCCGACTAGCTCCTTCGCTGATGCAGCCAACTCTGCCTCGGCGCCGACGGAAATAGTGTTTTGTTTGATCCGTGCTTTCTCGGAACAGTACCCCGCAGAAGCATGGGTGCTTCGGCACTTCCGCTGATGTTGCGAGGGAAGTGATGCGATGCAACGCTCGCGCCCGCGCGCGCGCCACCCGAAGCGAACAAGCTACGGATGCAGGGAGGATCAGAACATGGCGCCTGTTTCCCCGAAGCGGGCCCGATGCGCTAACATGCCCGGCCAAATCTCACAGTAGCAACACCGACTGAAGGTAGGGGGCCGGTCCTCCCCTGCGCAGGCCTGGCACAGAGCTCCCTTCGGCGGGCACCGCAGAGCAGGCCCTGGCTCCTCGAGCGAGCCGCAGCTGGCCGCGTCGCCAGCCGCCGCTTGTTTGAGAGATAGCCCGAGGCAGCTTCAGGGCAGGCGCCGCCCCCAGAGTGACGGCACGGTGCAGTCGCCGCCGTCGTCGTCCACGGCCTGCCCGCCGCCGAGGCGGGGACAGCGTCTACAAGCTGGAGCAGCCGCGGTCGTGCTCGTTCCCAGCCTGGGTGGCCGCGTCCAAAGGTGTGGGCGGCCAGGGGCTCCCCCCACGCCCGCGAGCCCCAGCACCGGCTGCCCGTAGGAGTGGCCCTTCGCCGGAGTGCCCTCCGGTGCGCGGCCGAACGTTTCATCTTTAGACGTGTGCGTCTGTGCCCAGAGGTTTCCCTGCCTCGGGATGCGTTCCAGCAGCTGCACCTCACTGGGAGCGCTCCGGGTGTGCCCGGATCGTCATTAAAGCGCCGCCGAAGGTCCGCCGAAAGCCACCCAGGACAAGGGTGACGTCCACGACGTCGGCGCATTTCGGAAGGGGCTAGGACGAGGAGAGATCCGAACCAGACCGCTCCAGAACGCTCCCAGAGCTGCGCTGTGAGAAGGCCGCGGCGCCCGACACATGTTCCAGAACCGCCGAATCTCAGAGATCCTCGATTTCTCCGCACCCGATTCTACCCTTTTCCTGGCTTCGTCTTAGCATTCGTTTAGGAGGATTTAGGGGGGCGTCGCCCTGGCCCCCCAAGGCAGGTCCTACTTCATGGCCATTCACGCGGGCACGCTGTACGCCCTCGGCAATGCGATCCGCGAGGGCGAGCGGTGGGTCTACAAGCAGCAGGTCGTCGGCATGAGTCTGGGGCTCAGCAGACCTGGAGACTCAGACATCTCATGGATGAGATGCTTCTCCCAATCCCTACCTGCTGTTCAGTTTCGGTCTCCGGGGCTTGCTGTTTGGCTCTTTGGACCATTTTCTGGGAAACGGGCTAGTGGGCCACGCACTTAAAAGGAGTCGCATCGCCCGATACCTCACCGAGCGAGGAGGATGGATTTCGATGCTTCTGATTCCTCGAGGCCTCCTGGGAAGGCCCTCGCGGCAAAGGCCGGGCGGAGCTCGAAGAAGTGGGCAGGGTGGCGGCCCCAGCGTCGCGGGCCAAAGACGTGGCAGGTGGCTGTTGGCTAGGACTGAGCCTCTGGCAGCCTGCCGCGGGCCCCGCGCCCATGCCGCAGCGGCCTGCGGCGAGCGCTGGTCCCGCAGGCTGCGTCGAGAGGCCTGGGGCCCTCGTCGTGCAGGAGCCGCTGCGTCGGAGGCACGGAGGAGCTCAACAGAGCAACAGACGGCATACTCCAGATTTCGGAAGAGAAGGGAGGGGGTCTGGACCCTCCAAGACAAGCCATTTCAGACCTCCCCCGTGGGAGAACCCTCCAAAACATCGTCCCCAGACCCCCCAGGCCCTCCAAGATAGCCTGGAAGAGACCCCCCCCCCGAAATGAGACCCCCCTCCCTTTATTACGAAATCTGGATCTGCGCTGGGCCCCCCCCGGGCGGCGCCTCAGGCGCCGCCCCTGGCTTGTTCCTCTAAGTTCTATATACGTTCGACCCGTGTAAGACATGCTGCGGGCCTTCTCCCGCGCTCCGGGAGCTGATGCCCGTGCTTATGTCGGGCCTGTCCCCCTACAGGGGGGATGTTCGACGAAAAAAACAGACTATTTCAGGACTATGGTTTGATTATTGTTGGTGTATTTTGATGTTTTGTCGAAAATCCCCCTGTAGGGGGACAGGCCTGCATTAAGCCCATGCTCAAGGTTCCTCGGAGCTCTGAGCCTCCGGGCGCCTTAGCCCTGCGAGCAGAGCAGTTCAGTAAGGAAGGTTGTCAAGACGCAGCACAGTGCAGTGCGCATTTCCTGCCACGCAGGGAGGAAGCATAGTTGCCAAGGGGGGTGTCCAGGAAGGGTTGTCAAGGATATTGTCCCAGCGTAGGGCCTGCCTTCGGTGTCTCTAGGCGTTGCCAAATCCTTTGTTTCACATTCTCCGGCTACAATCGTACAACTCGCGTATATGCACACACATGTCTGCGTATAGCATTGATGTATACATACACATCCATACGTACATACGTACATACATACATACATACATACATACATACATACATACATACATACACACATACAGGCATACATACATACAGACAGACAGACAGACATGCATGCATGCATGCATATATGCATACATGCATACATACATACATGCATACACACACATACACACACATACATACATACATACATACATACATACATACATACATACATACATACATACATACATACATACACATACACACATACATACATACATACATACATACAAACATACATACACACATACATACATACATACATACATACATACATACATAGACACATACATACACACAGACACACATACACACATACATACATACATACATACATACATACATACATACCTACATGCATACATGCATACATACATACATACATACATACATACATGCATGCATACATACACACATACATGCATACACAAACATACATACCTCCATATATACATACATAC